AAGGGTTTAAAATAAAAATAAAATAAAGTTATATTTTTATAAAAAAAAAGAAAAATACTAGTATAAAGTAATTATATTATTAAATTCCATATTTATTTTTACTATTTATTAAGAATATATATTTCTTAGAAAAAAGTATTATTTAGTATTTCTAGGAAATAATAAAGCTCTTTATTATAGTAGATATATAATATTTGTTTTTTGAGATATTATATAACTAGAAAGAAAAAATATATAATTATATAATTTCTAGATTCTTGAAATTAACTAGAAATTAATTAATTAGAAATAAATAAATATTATTTTTTATATTTCTAATTTAACTAGCTACTAGAATAATAAGATTCTTAATATAACTAATTTAATAATACTAGGAAATCCAGATAATTTCTTATTATTTATATATTTTTCCCTTATTCTTAATAAACTATAAAGAATTCTTATTAATATTAGGCCTAGCTATCTTAAGAAATCCAGAGCCTTTATCCTAAATCTTTTATATAGTTGCCTAAAAGGCTTCTTATATAATAAATATTAAGCTTTTACTTTTATTTTATTAAATAACTAGTTTATTAAGCCTTTTCTTATTTCGTATTATATAATTAAAACTTTATTAAAAAGCCTCTATTATAAGTTTTATTTCTTCTTATAAGTCCGTAATCTCTAAATTCTTTTTTATAAAACTATTAAGATATTTTAAACTTATAAATAATTATTTCTCTTTAATTATCTTGCCTTAAGAATTTCCTAAAAAGAAAGAAAATATCTTTATATTTAGCTTCTCAAAATTCTTTATATGAATTTTAGTAAGACTTTATTTTTTAATTTCAAATTCCTTTCTTATAATTTTTAAAAGCTATATTCTTTTATTAAGCCTATTTATATAAGTATTACTTTCTTTAATTACTATATTTCTTTTCTTTTTAAAGTTCTATTTTCGTATCTTAAATTACTTCTTTTCTTTTTTAAGATTTACTAGCCTCTTTTTTAATATATACTAATACTTATTAATATAATCTTTTATTATAAATTCCTTTAGCTACTTATATTATTTATTAAATATCTTATTAAAAGGCTTTTCGGAATTATTAACTAGAATAGGCTTAGTAACTAAAGTAGGCTTAGTAACTAGAATAGGCTTATTAGATAAAATAGGCTTACTAGCTAGAGTTTTAGTAGCTAGAATAAGCTTACTAGCTAGAATATATAAAGACTTAGATTTCTTATAGTTCTCTTAATAGATAATACTAAGTTATTTACTAGTATTTTAATACTAATATTTTTTTTAAAAATATATAATTATTTCTAATTATATTATTATTAAAGTTATTAGTATTAGGAATTATTATTAAATTAACTATTAGCTCTTTATATAATTAATAATTCTATAAAGGCTACTTTTTTTAATAAGAATAAGAAAGTAAAGTTTGGGCTTTTAATAATTTATACTAGAATATATTTTCTTTATATATTTAAAAAACTATTTAAAAATATAATTTTTTCTAAATAAAACCAGGAAGTCCGGAACTTTAAAGTAAGTAACTTTACTAGTAAGATAGCCTATAATTAGGCTTTAATTCTTAAGATTAAGTTTATAGTATTTAGCTCTTCTAATATCTTTTTAGATATTAGACTTTAGAAATTAATTAAATACCTAGCTACTAAGCCTTATAAATATCTTATAAGAATTAAGAAAAAATAGGAGTTTTAAAAGAGTAATCTACTTAAATAGCTTCCTAGAATAGCTAATATAGTAATAAATAATTATTAATAAGCCTATTAATAAAGGCTTATTAGTAAAGTTATAGCTATATTTACTAATTAGTTCTTTTTTATTATATTTTCTCTTATTATCTTTCTTTACTTTTAATTCTTATTAACTATAAGCCTTAGTTAAAGTTCTTTTCTAAAGCCTTAATTTCTTTTTCTTCTTTCTAGTAAAAGCAAGGTTATTTTCCTATATATTATAAAAAGTATTTCTAGTAATAGTTTTTTAGAAACTTTTCTTTTTCTTTTTTACTTACTTTTTCTTTTTTTCTTTTTTTCTTTCCTTCTTATTTTTTTAGAACTTAGCCTAATAAATATACTAATTTCTAGTACTTATCTCTTTAATACTATTATTATTATTATTTCTTTTATTATTCTTAGAAAGGCAAGAGGCAAGAGGCTTTAATTTCGGTTTATAGGCCTTTTATAAATATTCTTTTTCTAAGATAGATTTAGTTAGGCTTAAGAAAAAAAAGATAATATTATAATAGCTATAAAAAGGGCTAATACCCTTCTGCTTTTAGTACTTTTTATAGTAAGCTATAGTATTATAATATATAAAGTCTTAGATAAAAACAGTTTTAAAGAAATTAGATTAAGAATAAGAATAAAAGAAAATAAAAATAGTAATCTAGGAAATAAGAATATAATAAGAAAACCCCTTTATATTAAAGAATTAGAAAAACTATTTATTTCTATTTTAGATATAAATTTATATTAAGTTATTCTATAATATATTTTTATTTATTATTACTAGTTTCGGATATATCTTTTACTAACTAGTAATTTTATATATATTCTTATTTATTACTACCAGTTTCGGATATATTTCTTACTAGCTAGCTATTTTAAGTATATCCTTATTTGGTATTACTAGTTTCGGATATGCTTTTTATAAACTAGTAACTTTATATATCTTAATTTATTTTTACTAGTTTCAGATATACTTTCTATTAACTAGCTATTTCAAGTATATTCTCTATAACTAATTCTTTAATCTAATATAATTCCGTTCTTTTATATATATCTTATATATATAAAGCTAGTTATATATTAGTAAGAATAGAGAAAAGAGGTAAAGAAATATATAGATAATAATATAGAACTAGTATAATCTTATAAGAATAATTCAGAAATATTATAGTTAATTATATTATAAATTATTTATACTTAGAAATATAATTTAATTATATATATAAGTCTTATAATAGATAGTAATAAAGGGACTTAAGTTAGGTGTGGTTACATATACAGAATGCGGTATTTTGGTTGCGGGCGATTTTTGGTGGGGTACGTACGTACCACAAATCAGATATTGAAAACCGGATTCGAAAATCGATTGATCACTTGATCCTTATCGCTTTCCGTACTCGGTAAACTCAAGCTTGTCTAGGCTTGGCAACGATTCCTGGCTAATCGATTCCGTATTCATGGCGCATTCGTATTACTAATAATCGCGAGGAATCAATTACTATTAATAGGGAATTGATTCTTCCCAAGTACCCTATATAGTAAATTTGTATAGGTCCTTTTATAAATTCTTTTTCACAGCTAAGAAGTATAGTTTGCCTCGAAATAGGTTGCTGAAAGGCTGCCTTGGCGTCATGTCGGCTTTTAGTCCTGTCCTACTGAGCCTCTTCCAAGTCTCTTGGCTTGTCTCTGCTCAACCAAATCACAGAAAATACCCACAAGCCCTCTAGTTTACGAGCAAGCATGCTGCGCCATAAGTAATACAACCCACAAAGATGCGAGGCTTCGCCGGAAGTGCGTTAAGCTCACTCATGAACAGCGAAAGCGTACCTGTAGGGTTGAGATGCTGAGCAGATTCCCGGCTGCAACCTTAAACGACTTGGTTGGATCCGACATTCGGCGCACCTCCTTATTTTTTCCCTGACTCAAGCTCCGAAATCCTGTTCTCAGCCCTGGTCGGAGCTTGCTGAAGCCCGGAATGTGGAAGTGCGGGGCTGAATGAAGGGAGCGAATAAGATATTTGTGTCTTGTACCTAAGCGACACCATAGCCACGAAGTGCCGCTCGCCAAGCGCGACCTGAAAAGGCTGGGCAGGCCATCTCACTGTGACTGATTTACTGAAGTTTATTTATAGAAATTGTTTGTGTCAGTTGGTTGCAAGGTTGAATTGTATAGATCAAAGCGGTCTAAATGGAGGGTCCAAATCAGTGATGTTGAGTAGCCTGAAGTTCTATGATTCTGTGCAGTGAAGGAGAGATTTATAAGCCCCGCAAGTGGACTATAAGCCTATACCCGATGTAGATATGGTTGACATGAGGGGGGAAATCATGGTAACGGATAGTTTGGTGTACGTATGGAGAGAAGCCCGAGACTCTGTGAAACATTAGAGCTCGCCTCCGATGGCCGGGTCTTTCTTGCAGATTCATGTAGCTGATGTTTGTAGATTTGGATTCTACAGCTCTCTGGACAGTCACCCGAACGTAATAGCTCCTTGACTTTTAATAATAGGTAAGTCTTGATTGGGATTACTTAATTTGTCTCCTTTGATCCCGATTCCCTACCTCTTTTTGGCCCTCTTCTTATAGCGAATACGAGTATTCCTCTTTGTATTTCCTAAATATTTTATAGTTCTTTTTGTCGCTCACATTATAGAAACGTTCTACAAGAGATTTAAGTAGGATGCTCGCTTAAGAGAAGTTAGCCCAACTTTCACCCGATTTGCTAAGACGGCTTCTCTTCTCTTCACCCCTTCAAACTCGGATACGGAGTATTATATAATATACTCTGGGTTGCCTCGAGCAAGGTCTAAAGCTCGCATACACTACCGGATTGGGAACAAACACACAGATTCGGTCTAGCGTCCGCGCTTGGCCAGGGCTAGCGAGGGGCTTCCTAGAAAGACCAGGATAAAGTAAGGGAAAGCGAAACAAACACGTGGCTACAATACGGTATAAAGAGATTAAGGAAAGGGAAATAAGCTGAGTGCCACCGAAATTCTTATTACATGAAATCGCCCCAGCGGACAATAAGGAGACGTTATGGAATGATGAGGCTGGGCTACTTATCACTTGAATGTAAGCGAATGTGAGTCCAAAATAATTCAGGAGTTGAGAACTCGAGATTCGTGACTCAGAAACTGAGAAGCTGAGTTGGCGATGACGGTTTAATTTATTACAATGTTCTTGATGACATTGACAGGGATCCATAAGTAGCCAATCCAATGAGCCCTAAATTTTAGAATAGTTCGGACGGTTCTGCGTGTATTATTGTAGTAGTACTAGGAGGGAGACTTCAATGGCGAGGACAAGCTCGAGGTCATGGTTGAATTGGTGAGATTCATCTCTGCTACCGTTCCGAAGAAGATAGTTTCTTGTTTCTACTCATCTATCGCAATTCGGGTTTTGCTGTTTTGTAACTGAACTGGATCAAAATATGTGTTTTCTATACTTCTGTCTTTGACTTATGTTGAATAGCCTATTGCCGGGGATACCTTCGCTGTTAACTTGCTCTGCGTACTATCTTGCTGCCTGCCACTTAATGACTACTCGTGTCCTTACAATATATCAAAACAAGTAACAACAAAGCAAATTGAGCTCGCAGGACAGCGGCCTGGGTTAAAAATAGCACATGTAAAAAACAATATAATGCAAGGTCCACAAATACCGCGTTCATCCAAAGTGTTGGCAGCCACGCCAGTCTCCGGAAAAGTACCATGTGCAAGATAATAATCCACCTTTTCCATCGCAGAGGTAATAACTGTGGAATTGGTACCAACAAGGTTGCTAGGATAATTGGATTCGGCTGCTTCTTCTAGGTCACCACCTATAGTGGCTACTTGCTTCTTTTGCGCGTGGTCGATGACCAGATATTTGCCGTCGATCTTGTCAACTCCCACAGTATTATTGTACGCATTTGATAGACTGTGGGCTTCATCGAGGGTCTTGATAGTTGGAGCTGCGGCGTCGAGTTCATACCTCCAGCCGGGGAACAGCTCACTGTCTGCGTATTTCTGTGCACTCATTAGCCAGCTCTACTTATATCAAGGGATGGAAGTGAGGATCTTACGGTATTACCAGCAGCAAGTACTGCCTGAGTGTGGCCCGACAAGGCGATGACAACAACCGTGAAAATAGGAGAGAACTTCATTTTGACGGTGCCACGAGATCAATGCTGCCGGAAGGAACTTGAAGAATTGCCAAGCTGACTTTCTAGAGAGCGGGAAGGTGCAGATTTCGTGAAATAGTTGAGAAGTTATCAATAAGGCAGAAGAGAAGCTGTGCTGATAATAAGAGAAATATCATTGCAGGGACCAAAGTTGGTTTATATACTTTATTAACAAGTATGACTTTCTTCATGTAGTTCCAAATATTAGCTAATGAATACTTACCTACGGTTACACAGCTGTGATTAAAATACTGCAAATAGTATATCGTCTTACTATTGCGGCCGCGATATATTATTCTTGATTAGTACAGTCCCATTCAATGCTTCTATTGGCAAATACTATAGTGCGGCTGACGGTAAGATGTGAGACGTCGACTAAGCCCAGGCTAAGTAATAAACGTCAGCCAGTTATTAGCCAAGGATATTTCCTAGCTAATTAGCTTAGCTTAAGAGCTAAGAAGTCGCTAATAAGCTATATTTTAACATAATTTCTCATGTGAAAAAATCAAGTTAATTAAATATTATCTAAATAGGCCCAAATATAAATCTAATTAGAACTATATAATATATAAGATAACCTTTACTTCCTATTACTATATAATAGTTCTACTTTACTACTGCATTGCATTACGATTTATTCTTATTAAGTTACTTGAGAGTTTATAAAAAGAAAGAGAGTTCCTAAAGTTTAGAGATTTAATACTAAAAAACTTTTATATTTCTGCTTATTCATTAATATTTATAAGCTTCTTAGCTATTTATAAGATAGGGAAATCCTAGCGAACTAACTTACAAGACTTCCAACTATTAATTAACTAGCTTATAAGCTAGCCGGCTTAATACTCACCCTGACTAAGCCAAATAGAGTACCGGCTGGAATTGATAAGCTGAAAATTGCCATCTCAGCTCATTTCTCGACCGAGATGAACTAGGCACACTACACGCCGATGGGAAGTGTTTTTTGATAGATCAATCTTGAAAACAAAATAAAGGACTTACCCGTTCGTACTGTACCTTCCACAAGTTACCACTGGTGGTTCGCAAAAGCGATCTGGCCATGCTAGCGACTTGGCCAATTATTTTACATAGTAAATTTGTATGGGAGGTACTTCCGGCTGACTGATCCGTGCATGAAGTTTGGCAAGGGACATTAATTTGGTGGTGGCCAAGTCGCTATTGTGGCCAGATTGCGTTCACGAACCACCAGTGGTAACTTGTAGAAGGTACGAACGGGTAGCCGGAGCTTTTTGTTACATGACATGTTGTGAGGCGTTCGGTAATTGTGCTGACAGACATGCATGGTGGATCCGTTTCGGTGGTCCTGCCAGCACTGACATGTGTATGCGGATCTGTTCGGTAATCGGGCTGACAGGGTAATCGCCGTCTCGGCGTTTTCCTGAAAATCTTTAAACCTCCTCATTTCTAAAGTGCTGAGTGAGCCATTCGTTTTTGAAGAGTCTTATGCGAGACGATTTGGTAATCTTACTTTAGGGTCAACAAAGGGGCAAGACTTTAACAGCAGCGGAGTATGCCCCCAAGAAGAATACTTGATGGAGCGGAGAGGTGCTACTGTCACCGAATATTGCGTGTGGTTTGGAGACATGCAGTACTCATAGTACTGAACAATCACAAGTTTGTTTGCGAAATCGAGTGGTTCCTGGGTCAAGTTTACTGTATAATTCCTTGAAGTGCAGGTAGTCTGCGTTCGACCGACCACTGGGCGAATATCCCATTGATTGGTTCTTCTTTTGTTGCTTCCACAGAGTTATCGTTTACAGCTTATCCTTTACTCAAGGTCCCTCTCACCCCCGTAGTCTTCAAATACAACATCAAAATCTCCCTCGCAATATTCATAACATCTGCCAACTTGCTCGGCAATCGATGCCCAACATCAAACTCCACCAACTTCGCGCTCTCCCAGTGTGGGCTCCGATAAGCTCGATAAGCGACGATTAGATAATCGCGCTAATTTTTCGATAATCGATAATCGACCATCGATTACGATAATTATCGAACTAAGGCCTTGGCAATACTAGCTATTATCACCCAGGGTCCCGGAACCGTTATGATGTCCCGGTGATGTCCCGGTTATGCGATATAAATGTCCGGAATCTGGCGGAAATGTCATGATTTAGATAATTATTATCACCCAGGTCCCGGAACCATCATGATGTCCCGATGATGTCCCGATTACGCGATATAAATATCCGGAATATGGCGGAAATGATTTAGCCTTAAGACGATATCATTTCTTTTCCACCATACTCCGGATATTTATATCGCGTAACCGGGACATCACCGGGAC